GGGGGGGGGGGGGGGGTTTGCTGGATGGGGTCGCTGGATTTCCCCCAGATTGTACCCTGCCCGCCTCTATCCCCCCCACTCCTCCACCTCTTTGTGCTTTATGCTTACAGGACTATTATCCTGCAGCTTGCAGTAAGTTCTTATCAGTGACAGCCAGATGGAGAGCAGCACCTCCAGACTTGTTGATCAGGCAGCACGAACAGGGAGGCTGTAATTGCATGGAGGTTGTGTCCTTTCAGATTAGCATCATAGCTCTTTATAAATGAACGCAAAAGAAAATTAAATTAATGAATTCTCTGGGTTTGTCGATTTGAAAGGAAAACAAAAATGATGGTTTCCATAATGTCTTTTTTCCACACCCCATCTGATGTGCTGTTAACCCGTGAGAGCAGAGGTGAGTGCTGAACACAATACTGTCCTCTAGTGACTCACAGCACATCCTATTGGATTGGATCACACTGATGCTACTGCTGGCAGCTAGTTGGTAAATAACGATCAGATGAAGCTTTGAGGCAGAATTCTGACTGCTTGTTGGGAAAGATCATTTTTGGCAACTTCTACAGCGTCAGAGCAGAAAGAGGACAAAAACAAGCCTCCTGCATGTGCACACAGCAGTTTGTGATGAGGCGCTATCTTATGTGCTTTAAATCGCCCTTCAAACCCTCTCAGTTTAGATGGAGACGAGCTAACAGCTGTTCTGATCGGGCAAGAAAGCAAACCTGATTCCAAAAAGTTCAGCAGGTCATTCAGACGGTGTTTTGTGTCTGAATGACCTGCTTTGGGTGTTATAAATGGTCGTTTATGAGAAGTTGTCTGTAGCAGAATAGCAACATAAAGTAAGGCTAAGAATTAGACAATATAATTTAAACTAACTGCAACTTACCAGTCTGGTTTAATTAACACCATCCAACACGTCCGCTTATCCAGGGTCGGGTAGCGGGGCAGCAGCCTAAGCAGGGAGGCACAGACTTCCCTCTCTACCGCCACTCGGGCCAGCTCCTCGTGGAGAATCCCAAGGTGTTCCCTGGCCAGCCGAAAGACATAGTCCCTCCAGCGTGTCCTGGGTCTCCTCCCTGTTGGACGTGCCTGGAAAACCTCACCAGGGAGGCATCCAGGAGGCATCCTAACTAGATGCCCGAGCCACCTCAACTGGCTTTCTTGATGTGGAGGAGCAGCTAATCTACTCTGAGCCCCTCCCAAATGACCAAGCTTCTCACCCTATCTCTGAGCCCAGTCATCCTGCGGAGAAAACTCATTTCAACCGCGTGTACCCGCAGTCTCGTTCGTTCAGTCACTACCCAAAGCTCGGGATCATAGGTGAGGGTAGGAACGTAGATCAACTGGTAAATTGAGAGCTTCGGCTTCAGGCTCGGCTCTCTTCACCACGACAGACCGACATCTTAACACCATAGTGTTACTGTGTAGAAGCACTTCATAAGAACCCTAAATATGAATTTAGGCCTTTATGAGGACTGAGGATAAACTGATTATAAAACCATGAAGTTTTTTTTAATAGCTTTTGGTGAAATAAAATCTTTATTTTCAGTTTTGTTGCTTTCCTGTTCTGGTTTCTCTGCCAGAATAATGTTTCCGATTGTCCTCACCAGTCAATCCGCTCCACGTGGTTCTGGCTTGCTTGGTTCATCTCTACAGGTGCTGGCCAGTAAATTAGAATATCATCAAAAGGTTGAAAATATTTCAGTAATTCCATTCAAAACGTGAAACTTGTACATTATATTCATGCAATGCACACAGACCAATGTATTTCCAATGTTCATTACATTTAAATTTGATATTCATAAGTGACAACTAATGAAAACTCCAAATTTGGTATCTCAAAAAATTAGAATATTCTGAAAAGGCTGAATATAGAAGACACCTGCTGCCACTCTAATCAGCTGATTTACTCAAAACACCTGCAAAGGCCTTTAAAAGGTCCCTCAGTCTTGTTTTGAAGGCACCACAATCATGGGGAAGACTTCTGACTTAACAGCTGTCCAAAAGACAATCATTGACACCTTGCACAAGGAGGGCAAGACACAAAAGGTGATTGCTAAAGAAGCTGGCTGTTCGCAGAGCTCTGTGTCCAAGCACATTAACAGACAGGCGAAGGGACGGAAAAAATGTGGTAGAAAAAAGTGTACAAGCTCTAGGGATAACCGCACCCTGCAGAGAATTGTGACGACAAACCCATTCAAAAATGTGGGGGAGATCCACAAAGAGTGGACTGCAGCTGGAGTCAGCGCTTCAAGAACCACCACGAGGAGACTCATGAAAGACATGGGATTCAGGTGTCGCATTCCGTGTGTCAAGCCACTCTTGAACAAGAAACAGCGCAAGAAGCGTCTCGCCTGGGCCAAGGACAAAAAGGACTGGACTGATGCTGAGTGGTCCAAAGTTATGTTTTCTGATGAAAGCAAGTTCTGCATTTCCTTTGGAAATCAAGGACCCAGAGTCTGGAGGAAGAGCGGAGAAGCACAGAATCCACGTTGCATGAGGTCCAGTGTAAAGTTTCCACCGTCAGTGATGGTGTGGGGTGCCGTGTCATCTGCCGGTGTTGGCCCACTCTGTTTCCTGAGGTCCAGGGTCAATGCAGCCGTCTACCAGGAAGTTTTAGAGCACTTCATGCTTCCTGCTGCTGACCAACTTTATGGGGATGCAGACTTCACCTTTCAACAGGACTTGGCACCTGCACACAGTGCCAAAACCACCAGCACCTGGTTCAAGGACCATGGTATCCCTGTCCTTGATTGGCCAGCAAACTCGCCTGACCTTAACCCCATAGAAAATCTATGGGGTATTGTGAAGCGGAGGATGCAATACGCTAGACCCAACAATGCAGAGGAGCTGAAGACGACTATCAGAGCAACCTGGGCTCTCATAACACCTGAGCAGTGCCACAGACTGATCGAGTCCATGCCACGCCGCATTACTGCAGTTATTGAGGCAAAAGGAGCCCCGACTAAGTATTGAGTGCTATACATGCACATTCTTTTCATGTTCATTCTTTTCAGTTGGCCAACATTAGAGAAACAAACATTTTTTCATTGGCCTTTAGAATATTCTAATTTTCTGAGATACCAGATTTGATGTTTTCATTGGTTGTCACCTATAAATATCAAAATTAAACGTAATGAACATTGGAAATACATTGGTCTGTGTGCATTGCATGAATATAATGTACAAGTTTCACGTTTTGAATGGAATTACTGAAATATTTTCAACCTTTTGATGATATTCTAATTTACTGGCCAGCACCTGTACTTTTGTCAGATTTAGTCACTGACTGAATCAAATTTTAAGATTCATTTTTTTAAAATGACCAAATCCCAAAAAAAATCATCTGTACTGTAACAAAAAAAATGTATCAGTCTAATTTATATTATTGCATTTCTATGCATTTATATTTACGCTCAGACTGCCTAAAATTTAGGTTCAAAATTCAAGTAGCCCTTTCCATTTTGACTACTGTAAATGTGATTTATTTTTTATGTGCGTTTTAATTTTGTGTGTACGTTACCTTAGTGCAGGGGTCTCCAGTCCGGATCCAGCATGTTTTAGTTATTTCTCAGCTCCAACACACCTGACTCAGTGGTTAAATTACCCGTTAATCATGCAGGTGGGTTGAAGCAGAAAATCTTCAAAAATATTCAGGAAGATTCCCCTCAGGGGCCTCTACCTTCGTGTGAAGGGGTAAAACAATTTATTTAGACACATTTCTGTTTCAAAAAGCTGGGAATTGTGGTTCAAAGTCGATATGGCGGGCTGATGTGAAACCTTTCTGACTAAAAACCATTAATTCAAAGCCATTTGAGCTGCTTCTACATGATTTTAGTCATGTTTCTTTTCATTAGACCCAAACACAAGTTGATCACCGTTACTTCACATCAAACTACAATCTCAGTTACCTTCGTTGTTATTAAAGCACCACTTGCACCAGTCTGAGCTCCTTTGCTCAATTACAAGCCTCATAATCCTTTACATAATGTCTGCTACATTTATGATCCTGCAGGTTTACCAGAACAAAACAAAGCCAGACTCAGACGTGCTTCACTTGCACCATTAAGCCAGTGATCGGTGGTTATTACAAGCCTTTTGCTGCGAGAACGTCCAGATGCTCTTTTTTTTTGTGTCAAGGTCAAAACCAACAAAGGTGGGCAGGAAGGAGGAGGGGCGCTGGATTGTGGTACCGATCGGGAGTCAGAACTGTGACGTTTAACCTGCAGCCCAAAAAGGCACAAAATGGAGTCCCAGCTGGTTGAGTGGAGGAGCCGGGGGAGGAGCGGCGACTGCTTCAGGCTCGATTAGGCCCACATCCTCATCTCCATCAGCATTCAGTTCCATCGCTCTGAGTCATTAACCCCCAAACTCACACTTATACCCCTGAGTACTTGCAACTGTGGTTCTATGCAGAACCTTTTTCCATTCCAGGAAGTGTGATAAAAAACACACACAAACACACACAATGGGTGCATCTGGACACAAAGAGAGCAGAAGTGACGTTTGCATGCCTCAGGAGGCGAGAAATGGAAGAAGGCTGTCTGAGACGATGCTGAGCAGACCAGCATGCACCTGTCCCCTCTGGCTGTGAGCAGAAGCTTCCTCTCTTACGGAGGAAAAATTACACAAAGTTAAGAGGGAAGAAGAGATTTAAGGAGCGATTTGTAATGAGAAATGACTGAATTAGGTCACAACAGGAGAGGGTGGAGCTGCAGAAGATAAGCGGATGGAAAGCACGAGGGTGACAGAGACGGAGTCTCTAAACAACACAGATGTGGCCCCCATAATGGCTCTGCTTGAGTAATTTGTCACTCCCTGTGAGAAGCAGGAAAAGCAATGGCAACGCTTTACTCTGACACCACTAGCTGTCGCCGCACGCTTCCAGGATTTAAAAATATTCCCTCACTTGCAGCTGACTCAACCACACAAGCGATTAATCACAGGAAAGCCACTCAGGGAATAAGATCATCTTAGATATAAACAAAACTAAGAAAGGCCTCTTTAGGAACAACGTTTCATTCAAATAACTTATTTGTCTTACAGTGTATAAATCACATGAAACATGCTCTCGACAGTTTAAATACATCCAATAAAAACCAAGAGATCGGAAAAAGGACACGGCCTTACCACCATTTTAAAATAACTAACAGCAAAAGAGAAGCAAATCTTTTCCACCATGTCGACACTGCCATCTTGTGGATCTTTCTAATACTGCAGACACAAAATGAATCATAATAAAAACATCCCAGGACTAAATCCGCTACAGTTGCTATAGAGTTATAAAATGTGCCGTAGAAACATCTGGTCTGTTGAGACATGGAGGGGAATTAGAGGAATGCTACATAAAACAGCAGCTTCTCTTTGCAAAGGCATCAATTAAAGCCAATCAACCTATTAAAATGCTCTCTGGAGCTCCCCCCAGTGGCTGCATGTGAGAATGCAACATCCTCGACCGTTTCCCTGAGATGGGCAGCAGCTCTCCGTTGGCTTTCATCTGGTCGATTTTTCTGGCCAGGTCGGCGTCAGTGTCGATGACCAAGGTGCACCGCTGAGCGTAATTTACCAGAGTCTCTTCTCCTTGGCGAAACGTGCCCACTAGGGGCGCCATGTCTTTGCCAGCCAGATGCAGCTCGGCGATGGACGCCGTGTTGGCGATGGTGTTTCTGTCGATCCCGAGGTGACGGAAGGCCTCGCTCATGCTCTTCTTCTTGATGAAGGCTGAGAGGACTTGTTTGTAGCGCTGGATGACGTACTGGACACCGGTGGCTGATGGACACAAGGACAAATCAAACAGAAACCTTCATGAGATTCGTTAGCATGAACTTTTTTTGACTTCTATTACTAAAAGGGGATGTTTGCAGCTACAATGGCTTATTAACACGATTGCTCCTCCTCACTGAAACAGGTATTTTCTCTGTGTTCGTCTCAGTGGGACCACTTTGCAGGGCTGTTTCCATGATTCTGCTCAGGTTTCACCACTTCGAGACGTTGGCCGATGGAACTAATTTGGTCAATATTTCTGTTACCCGACTTTGCAAATTTCACCAACAATTAAGACTAGTGTTTTAAAAGTAAACAAAAAGAGACTGATCTGACCTTTTAATTAGACGCAGTGGTTGACCTCTATTGCTTTTTCTATTGGCGACACCAACGCTGATATGTTGGTCAGCCAGTGGATATGTACTGCCGATTTTCACGGCCTACAGTAGGGCTGAACGATCTATCGTAGGGCTGCTCAATTAATCGAATTTTAATCCCGATTACGATCCGAGTTTTGAACGATTATAAAAACAAAACAAGCCGATTATTTGCTCCTCCCACTTGCGCTGCCCTGAGTTGCCCACTTTGTTGCCAACTTAGCGACTTTGACGCTATTTCTAGTAGCTTTTAAGACCCCCTTCTTGACTTTTTTTATCCTTAAAGTATCTGGCGAACATCTCAGAAACATCTCTGGTAACCCTTAGCTACTTTCTGGATAACTGTCGTTGATATTTCCTGCAGGTTAGCTAAACACTCCGCCTGTGCTTCCGACTGTTCTTCAGGACATTAGGAAAGGGAATGATGTAGTGATGTGTCGGTCGCTACAGAAACGGCTCTCAGAGCCGGTTCCCTGTTGGAGTAACCAGAGTGAGTGACACACACCGTACCTGCGGGCTCCTGAGCCACTACAAACGGCTAAATGTGTGCGTGCTGCGCGCTAAACACACGTGCAGCTTGCCTCTGATTGCTGTGACACCGGGTTGGGGGGTGCAGCTGTGGTTGGGACAATTATTACATTAACTGATGGACCTGTAAATGCATAGTTTATAAATAAGGTAGAAATAGATAGAAATAAGTTCCTCACGCTGATAAATAATAACTAATCTCTCTGAGGACACGGTGCTAGTGCACTCTCCTACAGCACCTTGACACGACTCAATAAATGTTATGCAACATTTTGTGAACATCAATTATTTGCATTTATTTGTTATAAATAACACTGTATAACTCTTGCTGTCAGTATTTGCAAGATATTGGTATTTGGGTCTGTACTGGTTAGACTTAAATGAGTTAAACCAAGGTCTATACCCCTTGGGTCATAAACTATGAGCTGTAAGTATATTGGTCTTTTTATACTGGGAATCAGGAGTTCTTTTAGTGATCATCTTGTTTCTTATTTTTGTCCTGATTGTGCCCTGAGCAGTTTTATGACTGAATAAAAACAAATAAAATCAGCATTAATTGAAAAATCGTCTAAAATAATCGAGATCTCAATTTCAGTCACAATAATCGTGATTATTATTTTTGCCATAATCGAGCAGCCCTAATCTATCGTTTTTGGACCAAAATTGTGATTTCCAACAGCACGATCACGTGACCATCAAAGCTGCGGTTTTAGCGGTTTTGACTGATCCAGGATCAGGTGTGTAACTTTTTTTTACATCCGGAGTTTCCCCCCGTGTTATGGCGGTGGCAAAAGCCAGCGCGGAGGAGGGGGGGGGGGGGTGTACCGTCCAGAGCCGAGCCCAACTCCACAGCTGTCACAGCTGCATGTTCAGGTTATTTTCCCTGTTTTATGTTCCCACACACACAGCGCTGCAAGAGCCGATAATAATGCACCGTAGGTGAGCCCGGGACAGAGAGAGAGAGAGAGAGAGAGAGAGAGAGAATGTAGTTGAGTAAGGGAGAGAGACTCCTCCCACATCGGAGCAGGTTCAGGCTGATTTCTGAAGCTTGGTTTATGCTTCATCAGTTCGAGTGCGGGATTAATAAATATCTTTCAGTTGCGCACTTAAGTTGACTTGAAAGCTCAACTTGTCCTTTAAAAATGGTTTGAATGTTTCTGACGGCACACGCTAAGCTGTCAGAATGCGTGCGTCTCTCTCACGGAGCTGACGTTTTAGTGAGGAAAAACTATCAGACGGCTTCGAAAAACCTGCAGCCAGCCTGCCGCGGTAATGCTGGAAAACTGTGTGTATTTAGTTAATTAATACGTTTAAAAGCTGTTTCTACCTACAGATTTCCTCCATGCATTTTTGGAGTGGAACATGTTTTTATAAAGCTCCTCTCTAGATAAAAATCACAAGTTGCTTCACAAAAAATTTAAAAAAATTAAATAATGGGAGAAAATAATAATAGCTTTGACTTTATTATATGATTAAATAGTAAATATTAATGTGAATGATTTGTTGTACTAGATTATGATCTAGACCATATTTTCACTTCATCTACAGGATGGCTTGGCAGGCTAGTGTTGGACCTTTGTTTGCAGAAAATCGTGAATTGAACCGAAATCACTATTTCTGCTAGAAAAACTGCAATTCAATCTTTCCCAGAAATCGTTCAGCCCTAGCCTACAGCCAGATGTTTTCCACCTTATCTTCACGCTAAAATGCCACTAACAACGTCGGCTGATTCATAACATTTCTGAAGCTGAATCAGATTTGATCTCTGAATTTTGTTTGAATTTCCTGAACATGTTTGAATTTGGCCCTCTTTTATGTTGACTTTATCTCACAGTTTTCATTAGTTCACTTTTTCCCTTGTTTTACACATTTGTCTTCTACTAGAATGTTTCACCTTTTTTGTAATTTGTACTCTGTAATTTGAATTGCTTTTATTTTCTGATTTATTCACTTTATTTAACTTTGTACTGTTCCATGTTCAGCACCTTGGGCTTCCTGACAGGGTTGCGGAAGGCGCTTTATAAATAAAGCTTTGATTGATTGATTGATTGAATTTAACTAACTACCATTTTATGCCAGCAGGTGGCAGAAGTTTTACCATTTTGTAGTTTTGTAAACAACACTAATGTGAAGTATTTGGCACCAGAATCAATGCAGCCAACCATTAAAATGTACACTGCTCACAAGAATTAGAGGAACACTTTTTCTATTGGGCCTGGCATGAAACCAGTTAAACCTGTCTGATAATTTCCTGGTTGATTAAGCAGCTGACGGCATTGTTGATCACTTTCAGCTGGATTGGTGTTCATGGACTTAACGACAGTGTTGGGAGTAATGCAGTACAAAAATAATTAATTACTGTAATGCATTGCTTTTTGCTGTAATGTGGTAATGTAAGGCATTACAGGGAAAGAAAATGGTAATATTTACTCGGTACAATTGTCAGTAACGCAGTAATTACAATGCATTTTTAAACCCAGAATCAAGCTGTGTTCTTAAAAATTCAAATTGCGGGAAACCCGAAGAAAGATCCAGTATCTGCATATATTACGTCATTTATGGACTCAGCTTTGCGGGCAGAGAGGACGCAGCAGTAACGGCTCAACTACTCCAGCTGCGTCTGCCCGCGGCCGCTGCAACATTCACAAAATCGCTCCACTAAAACAAAATAATTCACTTGCGATCGTTCATATCAGCGCATATTCTCTGGTATTTTGTGCTTTTCTGATGTGCTTTGCCTCAGCTGAGTTCATAATCTGCACCCCGATGATTTCAACTCATTGCTGCTGGAGCACCGCGCATGTGTAGATCCCTTTGGCTGATCGTTAGAAAGTAGGAAGTCTAGGAAACAGTTTTTCTGGAAGATGGAGAAAACATGCAGCATGCAGGAAGGTTAGAGAGAGAAAGGGCAGGAAATTATTCAAATAAAATCAAGAAAAAAAAGAAAAATGTAGGTAGATTTATCCCAATACTCATTTTTACCAGTGAAAAGGAATAAAATATAAGCATTTAATATTTATACATGTGATAGAATCAGATCACCCCAGAAGTCAGTCCCACATCCAGGGCCGTATCAAGGCATTTGGGGACCAAGGCAAATATAGGCTTGGAGCCCCCACCACCTCATTCCCTGATCAGTTAATATAAGATGGCAGCGTGCTGAGAGTACAGATTGTTGTTACTTTTATTTAATAAACAATCATTTTAAAGCACAGTTATTATATCTGACTGTTTTAACAGCAATCCTAGCTCAGACACCACATCACCTTCCACATATATGTCTCACTGAGCGTCAGGTTACCAGATTCATATTGAAGTTGTTTTGGTGAAAGTAACTTTAAGTAATGCAAAAGTAGTGTAATGCCTTACATTTTAAAATCAGTAACATTGTAATGTAATGAATTACTTTAAAATGAGGGTAACAAGTAATAAATAATGCATTACAGTTTTGAAGTAACTTGCCCAACACTGCTTAACACAGGTGCACTAAAGTGGCAACAATTACAAAATCCTCAAAACAGGACTGGTTTAAAACGTAGAGGTCATTTCAAGTTTCTCCCTCTTGATCTTTGTCGGCTGGTTTTCCACTCGTGCTGGTTTTGGCTCTCTACTGGCGGTATGAGGCGATTCCTTAACCCTACAGAAGTTGCACAGGTTGTCTAACTTCTCCAGGATGGCACATCCACACGTGCTGCAGCAAGAAGGTTTAATGTGTCTCCCAGCACAATCTCCAGAACATGGAGGAGATTTCAGGAGACTGGCGGTTATTCTCAGAGAGCTGGACAGGGCCGTAGAAGGTCCACAACCCATCAGCAGGACCAATACCTGCTCCTTTGTGCAAGGCGGAACAGGCTGAGCACCGCTCGTGCCCTACAGAATGACCTCCAGAGGGCCACTGGTGTGAACGTATCTACCCAGACAATCAGGAACAGACTTCATGAAGATGGCCTGAGTGCCCGACTTCCAGCAGTGGGCCCTGTGCTCCCTGCCCAGCACCGTAGAGCTCGACTGGCATTTGCTCAAGAACACCAGAACTGGCAAGTCCGCCACTGGCGCCCTGTACTTTTTACAGACGAGAGCAGGTTCACCCTGAGCACCTGTGATAGATGTGAAAGAGTCTGGAGAAGACAAGGGGAACGTTATGCTGCCTGCAACGTCGTTCAACATGACAGGTTTGGTGGCGGGTCAGTGATGGTCTGGGGAGGCACATCCATGGAGGGACGCACAGACCTCTGCTGCATAGGAAATGGTGCTCTGACTGCCACAAGGTATCGAGATGAAATCCTTGAACCCTTTGTCAGACCCTACGCTGATGCAGTAGGTCCTGGTTTTCTCCTAATGCACGACAACGCCCGGCCTGATGTGGCAAGAGTATGCAGGCAGTACCTGGAGGATGAAGGAATTGAAACAACTGAATGGCCTTCACGATGCCCTGACTTAAACCCAATAGAACATCTGTGGAACATTATGTTTCTGTCCATTAGGCGGCGCCAGGTTGCTCCTCAGACTGTACAGGAGCTCAGGGATGCCCTCACACAGATCTGGGAGGAAATGCCACAAGACACCATCCGTTGTCTCATTAGGAGCATGCCCCGACGTTGTCAAGCATGCACACAAGCTCGTGGGGGCCGCACAAGATACTGAAAAGCAATTTGAGTTGCAGAAATTAAGTTTTTGAAATAATGGACTAGCCATCTTCATTTCACTCCGATTTTAGGGTGTCTACTCAATTGAGCCCTCGGTAGGCTGATAACTTTTATTTCCATTAAAACAGGGGTGGGGAACCCTGGTCCATCGAGGGCCGCTATCTAGGGATGGGTACCGAATTTGGTACTTTTTAAGGTACCGGCCGAATTCCATAGTACCGACCGAGCACCGATTCACGTCGTTTCAAACGGTGCCTCGTTTCGGTACCCGTCCTTCATAACCAGAACTTGTCAAGACAGCTGCGCATACGCAAGAGCGTTATGTCGTCGGTCGCTGCGAGCCAGTTGTAAACAGAGCAGCATGGTAGAAAGAACGCACGCTAACGCTTGGGTCCACTTCACTAAATGTGATGGGTAACTGGGTGATGATGAAACCAGCGACAACAATCTAAGTGAGACATCCTCATCTTAATCTGCTCCGGTAGGTAAATAAAATGTATAAGATAACGTTAGCTTGATATGTTAGCTTCCGTTTCGCTAATGGTGCGTTCGCTTTCTCCTCGGAACTCAGAATTTCCGACTAGAAGAACATGAACGCGCTCTAAAGTTTGGCTTCACTTTACTAAATGCGACGGGTGATTGGGTGAAGATGAAACCAGCGACAACGATCTAAGTGTGAGGCATCATCGTTTTAATCTGCTCCAGCAGCTAAATAAACTGTTTAAGATAACGTTAGCTTGATATGTTAGCTTCCATTGCCACCATTGTTATCAGCTAATGGTGCGTTCACTTTCTCCTCGGAAATTCTAACTTCCCAGTAGGAAAAATCAAATGAAAAAAAGACGGTAAAAGGAATGAAGATACACAGTAAATTTAGTTCACAGTAAAGATGTTTGCTTCAGTTTAATTATCAGCTTATAAAACTACAAGGACGATGTTAAAATACAAACAGTTGAATGTTATTTATCGTGATATTTATCAAATATTGTTATATATTGAGAAAAATATATATTTAATTATAAAAGAGAATTAAAATAATAAACACTCAAAAGTATCGAAAATTGGTACGTTAAGTACCGGTATCGATTCAAATGTCAAAGGTACCCATCCCTACCGCTATCCAGCATATTTTAGTTTCAACCCTGCATCATCACACCTGATTTCAATCAGCAGGTGATTAACAAGCTTCTGCAGAGCTTGATGAGCTGCTGATCAGGTGAATCAACCACTGAATCAGAAGTGTTGGAGCAAAGACGTGCAGGATACCGGCCCTGGAGGACCAGGGTTCCCCGTGCCTGCATTAAAAGACTTGGCATCCGTTTGTTCCTAAGACATTGCCCTGCCATTATTTGTATAGATATCCAACTTCATACTCAGATCTAATGTATCTAATGTCTTTCTTTAAAGTGTTCCTTTTATTTTTGTGAGCAGTGTATATTTACATAAAACACATTATTAAAATGTTCATGCAAAGATTAGTTATTAATCAGGCAGAACAAATCTAAAAGAAGACGAGAGCGATGACGGGAGCCTGAGTGTCGAATCAGGAAGTGAGTAAGATGTAAACAACTGTCAACAGAAACTTTTCCCACTATTTTGTTTATAATTCTTACCTCATTAAAATATAACTTCTGTCTAATAATGTCTCTTAGCTGACCTCTCTTCCTGCTGTAGTCCTTCCCTTTCTTGGATCTTTTCTTGTCCTTGTGGTGCTTCCTCCTCCTGTGGTCGCTCGAAGCCGCCGACATCCCCGACGAGTCCGACGCCTCAGAGCCGCTGTCGCTGCTGGCGAGCGAACTAGAAGAAGCCCTTTCTCTCTTTCGAGATTTGTTTTCCGAATGCTGCACCTTGCTCGATTTGGGAGCTGTGTTGAATACATAAAACCCATTAAAAACACCTAAATGGGAACATTTGTTTAGTAACGCAGCATAAATCACCTTCAGCTGTTGAAGAGGGGGTGGCGAACGCTGCCACAGAGCGGTTACTCGTGAGGTTTTCGATCTGGCTGCGTAGGAACTTGCGGTCCTGCATCAGGTCCTCCACCTGCCTCTCCAGAGCGGCGATGCGCTCCTGCTTGCTCTCCAGCATGCACTGCAGCTTCGTGATGGTCAGCAGAACCCTCGGGGGCAAACCATCAAAATTTGAGACGGCTGGAAACAGATCAGGCGAGAATTTGTTTAACTCCAGAAAAATGTGTTTGCTGTTGGTACATCTGAGGACGTCTCACCAGACATGGCGCTGCTGGGTGTGTTGTCCTGGACAGCATCAGCCGAACCTCCAGTTTGGAAGCTTTCCCATTTGATGATGCGCAGGTCATCCTGCTCCTGCTTCAGCCAGCTGGAAGAGCCGAGCCGGTCTTTGGTCCGAACGGAGCTGGAGTCGATCTCTATGCAGGGGGAGTAGCCCGACGGCTCCTGCTGCCACATCGACGACATCTTCTCAGACCTGAGCGACACAAAAGGAGGATTAGATTAAAAAGGTGATCGTGTCCCACTGGTGCAGAAACACTGATATTATAATTGTGCTTGTGGATTTTAGTAACTTTTACTTTTAAATCTTGTTTTTTTTTTAATGAAGTACATTCTCAGCTCCAATAATAGCCTTGTGCAGGAAGCTCGTTCATTTTCAGTGTTTGCCATCATCTTGCTGCCAGCAAACCTTTACTGAAGCCATTTCCATGGCAACGCGACAGCTCGCGTAATCACAAGATCTAAATCTCATAATTACGTGACGAGGACCTTATAATTAGCGGATCTCGTCTGGCACCATGGATCCACCTCACTAAGAGGAAGTTACTTACAAATCTGAGCTACACTGAAACGTGAACCATCCTGCTTTAACCCCAGTAGAACACCTACCCACAGTGTGAATTTAATGAATACAAATTATCGGTATTAATGACATGTTTTCTTTTTTTTATTTGACTTAGAATTGTAGATATTTCTTCATTTATTTTGTACACTCATGTTTATCACTTCGTTGTAAACATGTCTAAATACTGCTGTACTAACGTTACAATGGTTATTTCTGCACATAAACAATTGTTTTGTGTTTTAAAGATGAGTTAAAACATTAAAGCTCTTGCAAAAGCACTCATTGTTCTGCAGAAGCACAGCACTTATAGTAAACAGACAGAGCCATATGGGTTTTCTTTTGCCGATACCAATATGCAGAGGTCATGGTAAACCGATGGCCGATACCTACCGCCCATCTTCAAGGCCGATATCTAGACCTGTGACATTTTTAGTAAGTAATGTAATAACGTCAATACGAGGGTAAATTGGATTAAATAAATAGCTTAAGAGCTATTTATTTCTATTCTCATTACTTTGTGACCAATAGCTGTAATACTCTAGCCTGGCAAGCCAGACTAAATAAATGTATTATTTAGTCTAGCCATGCTCCATTGACGGCTCTCGGTTGTGGGGCGGGTTCTACCGTTGTCTTTCAAATGATCTCCGCATTCCACTGGAGAATGAATGTGACGCTCTTGTTTCACTCTGTTGCATCATCCCACCCACCAGCCATATAGAGTGCCCTGATTGGCCCACAAAGCGGATAAAGCTCTGTGATTTGTTCACTAAGCAGATAGAGCACTATGATTGGCCCACCATTATGGACCAACCACAGCTCTCTATGTGTTTGAAACCCCTCTAGAGAGCTGTGATTGGCTGGCCAGAGTCCTGGTAGGAGCTGCGGAGGTTCCAATGGAGCGTGCCTAGACCATTCTTTGCAAAGCAAGAATTTGGTCTAGTCCACTAGGCTAGTAATACTCTATTATTAGAGAATATCATCTTGCTTGGTCTTAGGATGATTAATTAAAAGGTTCTAGGATTCTTTTAATTATTAAGGGATCGTCACACTTTGCTTTGATTCAAGAACCAGTCAGTGTTTGCAAACACGAATTTATTTTACAAACAATTTTAAGCCTCGACAAATGTTAAAACTCCATCTTTCAGTTCTTTTTGATGTTTAAACTATTATTTACTGAGTGGACGCGAACTAAGAGATGGGGGTCTGGAACTAGGTGTGAATGTAGTATTTCAGTCAAAATCTCCACATCTCGGAGAGAGGTGAGTTCTGGATAATAAAAGAAGTTGGTTTGCATCTGAGCTGTAAGCTGTTCTTATCAAACTGCATACAGACGCTGTCTCACTGTGTTCTACGTACCCAAGTGGAGACACCCTTGCGGATCCGAGATGTCAGGGGGTTGGAGACCCCGGGTACAGAAGTCCGTAGACTAACTCCTAGTACGACCAGATCGCTCCAGGTAACACAGGTGACCTGGATGGAACCAAGCGTCTCAAAACCACTCTGAAGGAGCGTTACAAAATCAGCTTTGTTCTGCAGGAAACATCTCTTGTTGTCCTCGGCTTTGCAGGTGCAAAAGCTTAAGGTTTTGACAGCGTGTCAAAATCCTTTGGTAGCTCGGCTAAAGATGGCCAGTCTTAAAGCTTTGCTCGACTCCAACCCTCGTTCTGGTGGAGGTTCGAACTTGCCTCTGGGTTGAAGCAGAGCGGCTGGTTTTATAGCCCGCTGTTTATCTATTACCAAAGATATCAAGACTTCTCAGAACGCACACTCTGTGATGCGGAGCCGCTGAGTCTGAGAAACAAGGTTAGTTTATGTGTAATGCTTCTTAATTTAGCCTTACTTCTTGTCTGGTGTGAGTGATCGAATCCAGTAAACATACTTAGCATCATTGAACAGATTTGCGAAACATTTCATCATTTATAATTATACATGGCAATATTTAGTGAATATTAATTGTAAGATCTTAGCTATAAGATCTTCTTTTCTTTAAGGATTATTCTGAAATATAAAATGATTACTTATATTATGAAATCTTTTCTTCTGGGAATAAAAGTTTACTTTAGGAGTTTTCTTGTGAGGAACCTTGGGGAAAGGAATACTACTGTTCATCTTTCATTATCTGATGAAGCTTCAGTTCAGCTGATGAAGTCATCTGATTAAAGAGCCTGCGTGCAGACATTCCATCTCCTGTCGGGGTAAAATACAGCAGAACGTGTGTAGCCAGGGTGATTTGCTCTGGCCGTGCATATGAACTGTGGGATCTCAAAATCAGTCAGTAAATTTTATTTCTATAGCGCTTATCCCAGACATAGAATCACAAAGTGCTTCACACTGATCAAAACAAAATAAAACATAGTCATAAAATCATAACGATGTCAAAACAGAAATAGATTTTCAGAAAAATAAAGTCATAAAATTAAAAACATCCATAAACAGATGAAAGATTACAAATTTGAGTTAAAAAAAAGAAAACAAAAGATTTAGGTAAAAGCAGATTTAAATAGAAGAGTTTTTAGCTGCTTTTAAAAGTGTTCAGACTGTCAATAAAGGAAGATCATTCCAGAGTCGGGGTGAAACAGCCTGAAAGGAGCTTTCACCTCGACTCGTATATCTGTTCTTTGGAACTTCTAGAAGGTTCTAGTGTGTGGACCTGAGGGCCGGGCTGGAGCTTTAACCTGAATCTATTTTTCAACTCAGAATTGAACCAACTCTTATTTAATTGTGTGAATTAAAAATAAAATATTAAACCAAAGTTAATCAAACTAATTAATATAAGACAGACAGACAGACAGACAGACAGATAGATAGATAGATATAGATTGTCCACCTCGAATTGAGGCAGAAATTCGCCTTTGACATCGCATTCACACAAATACATAAAAAGACAAAAGGTATTAGAATGTTATCATCGTAAAAAAGTAAAACTTTAAGAATTCTAAATTGTAATTGCGGTGAGAACAAATGATTTCTTATAGACACCTTTCTTGGCCAATGGAACCCTGAACCTCCTTCCTAACGGAAGTAACTGAAAATGAGGGTTCATGGGTGGGTTGGGTCTGCACCGATCAGGGTAGCCTTCCTGTGCGCTGCTCGCTCGTGAAGAACAGGAAGTGGGATCTGAGGGGAACCTGTAATTTTGCTGCCTAATTTAACAATGCGAGAGTTGTGTTTTGTTTTAAACTGTAAGAAAGTTAAACCAAGCTGTAATATTGAAAGTTAGAATGGATTCAATCAGTGATTTATATACAATTGTTAGGATGTCTTTGTTCACATTGAGTGCTCTTAGCTTCCTTAGCAGGTGGAGTCTTTGCAGCGCTTTCGTGTAGACACCGTTGCTGTGGTTTGCAAAGGACAGGTGGTCATCGATTTCTGTTCCCAGGTACCGGAATGACTGAACCTGCTCCACAGGCTGACCCTGTATGCTGAGGGGTTCGAACAGGGACGTGCCTGCCTCACTGGCCGCCCCACAGCACATTTCTTTAGTTTTTGAGATATTCAGCCCCAGGTGAGTCTTCAAATGTCTGGACCAGATTGCTGATCGCCTGCTGATATTTAGACAGGTCCTCCGATGTCTTCACTGATGCCACCGGTGCCATGTCGTCTGCATACTTATACAGGGCCATTCTCTCACTAAGGCACCGGATGTTGTTTGTGTAGACTGAGAAAAGCACTGGGGACAAAACAGCCTTGTGGCAGTCCAGTGCTAATGACACTTTTCGTGGATTTAAATCTTCTTAAAAACACTTGTTGTGGCCTGTCTTTCAAAAAGTTGTGGATCCATAAAAGCAGCGTCGTGTGGAGATGGAGATCTGAAAGCTGTTCCAGCTAAATGCTGGTGTCTACTGTATTAAATGCAGAAGAAAAATCCATGAATAAGATTCTTGTGTATAGTTGTGTAGAGTCCATGTGTTTAGTGACAGCATTTAGAAGTGTGAGACATGCATCCTCTACACCACGTTTTGCCTTGTAAGCAAATTGTAGGGGATCCAGCTGGTCTGAGATAAATTGTGTCAAGTGTCCTCCACCACCCTTTCCATGCACTTGCACAGAACTGATGTAAGGGCCACAGGTCTAACCCCCCCGGTTCTTTTGCATGAGCTTTCTTGGGGATCGGAATTATCTCAGATTCTTTCCATTGCTCTGGAACGCAGCCAAAGTCCAGAAGGAGCTGGAAGAGTCTGGTGAGTACCCCACCTAGCTGGGTGGAGCATTCTTTCAGAACCCTGCCATGGAGCCCATCAGGGCCAGAGCTCTTGTATGGGTTGATGCAGCCCAGGATGGTGGTGACCTCCTCCTCGCTGATGGTCAGTGAGGCTGTCGGTGGGGGGTGGGCTCAGGTGGAAAGAGGGCAAACGCCATTGAAAATGACCAAGTATTAAATGTAAATAGGGACATAAAAAAGAATGTCAGTTGGCAAAAATGTTTTGGAGATTAAATGTTTTTTCAGTGATGGAAAAATATGTGCAGCACTGGGCTGCCCATGGATGTGCCTGACTTTAAATAGGCTCTGCTAAAAGGGTATAGGTGCATCCATGGCTGTGACAGTTAAATAACAGGCGTTAAATTTAGAAGTATGTGGATGCAGTTTTGCTGAAATGTATTTTAGTCCATTTATAATTATTCACTCTTTATGTTTCAGAACAATAAAAAAAATAATTAAATTAAATTGAAATGTGTGGGCAAGACTCTGAACCACGCAAGGATGTGTGTGGGGACGAGAGGCTGAAACTGGCTTTGAGTGATTGGGAAGACCTGAAATAAATTCTACCTATTTACCTACTTATTAGTTTATGATTAGATACCAAGTTAATGATTACATAACCTGGTTAGTTATAAACTAGATGTTCTTAGGGCTCTGGAGAAAAGTTCACTGATTCATCGTTTGATAGTTAGTTAGTTAGTTTATGATTAACTAGTTATTCACATTATTTACAACTGCTTTGTGGTCCTTTTGTTACCAAGACTGGTTTCACTTTAACATAACTTTCCGTAGAAAATGGGAATACTTACAGGAAAAGACAGTTAAATTCGTTTAAAATTAATACATAAAATCACAGCAAACCAACGCACCATATTAACTTTACGGTACATTATAGCTTGAATTCATGCTTCACCTTGTTGATTCTATTTGTTCTGCAGCCAGAGACGTGGTGCATTCAGGTGCTCATGTACATTTTTAGGAAAGAAGAAAACTAGTTATCATTCATTTTTTGTTTGTTTTGTTTTTAGAGCTGAACTCTTATCATTACTTGCAGTAAATTGCAGCATCATTAAGAGGCATAAAGTGATGAACATTTGACTTTTTTTTAATTAAGATTAACATCACTGTATGAAAAAAGACTAGTCTCCTGATTAAACACCCAGATGTGATCCTTTAGATGTGTTATAAACATTTACAAGTAAAAAAGCAGAACATGCTAATCTTGTGTCGCGAATATTATTCTACAAAGGCAGTTCATTTCATCTCGCTGTGGTTTTAATTACCTCCGACCAAGATGGATGCTAATGACTGTAATTACAGGGGGAAATCGGCAAAAAGGGCCCCCAAAGCCGGCTAAACGCACAAAACCACGTACCTGTACGTGAGTCCAGCGGTTTCAAAGAAGACCGAGTTTATTCCAGCTTGTGTTTCGTTACGAATTTCAAGTTAAACCCGCCGTTTGTCCAAAAATATAAACAGAGACGCCAACGCAACGTCCATGTCTGGGTAAAGGGGCGGAGCCACGGAGCGACGCAAGAGGGCGAGATGAATTCAAGGACCTGGCAAAAAATCGTACTTCCTAGTACATTAGAATAATAAGTAGTTAAAGGGAAAGCTCACGTTATTAGTACTTTATATGAATGTAAAACATATACATTATTAACACTGAACACCATGACATTCCAAACAAAAAATATTTATTTTCTTAAAAAATAACGTCATATTTTAAAATATGCTTACAAAAAGTTCTCACTTAAAATTCTCACTCATTTTAAAAATGCGTATTTCAAAATTGTAGTTAAAAATGAAGACCAGAATTTTGATTTGAGCAACTTTAGAACCAAACGGAGTAAACTTGTGAATCTTTAGTAGTCACCAACTTGATTATGAAGCTCAAGGATAACCAAATTGTCAGGGCTGCTTGCTCTATACCCAATGACTTTAGTTCCATAGACTCACTAATAAGCAGCAGGGTAATTTGCTCTAACAGTCATTTTCTCTTAATTAGCTTAAAATACAAAAGACGTATTCATCTAACAGTGTTAAACACCATGGTTATGTGGCATCAAAGTGCTAAACCCAGCTTCAGCCCTGCAAACTCATACTTTTTAAGTGACTTTATAAAAATGAGGAGGGGAACTGATAGTGACAAGATGCTTGAACTACATCTAGTTTGTAGTAAACTATTAATCCAGTATGTTTTAGTTGTTCCGTACTCCAACACACCTGACTCAGTGGCTGACTTCCTATATCTGCAGCAGCCTGATAATCGCGTACCGCATAAAATCAAGCAGAAGCATCTAAAACATACTGGACAACAGATCTGCAATACCTGATCTAACTGATCCACACAGATCACAGATATGGGGCAGCAGTAGCTAAGGAGGTAACGCGAGTTGCCTCATGATTGGAGGGTCATGGGCTCGATTCCAGCTCCCGCCAGGGGGCATCACGCTGTTGTGCCCTTGGGCAAAACACTTCACCCAACTTTCCTGTGTTGGTGGTGGTCAGAGGGGCCAATGGCGCCAAACGACACCCTTGCCTCCGTCAAGGGTGGCCATGGCTGCATAGCAGCTTACCATCACTGGCAGTGTGTGAATGTGAGAGTGCATGAAAGCGTCTTTGAGTGTCCTAAAAAGTGCTATATATGTTTAATGTATTATTATTATTAATATGTGCATTCCTGTATACATGTAACCAATGGAAATGGCCAGTGGATTCGTCAGTTCCACTCATTAGTTGTGTTTAAATTCCATTCATGACACAACAGAATAATTGAATTTGAAGGCAGCCACAGAGCATCATATTAACAGGGACGTGTGATAAAAGCAACTTTTATTCTGAAGTCCAGTTTTGTGTTTGACCTTTGGTTAACATTAAACTCAACATTCAATTAATGTTTGATGAAGTTATCGTGAAAGTTCAACCCGATCCAGCAGAAGGGAGAGAGACACGTTCTTTTGTCACATTGAGAAAAAGTTTCCCACCTTTATGACAATACGCGTTGGTATTATCAACGAGTGAATAAAACCAGAAGCGCTGATGCCACAGTGTAACTTTATTAGCAGTCAGATTTAAATACGGCGGCTGTAAGGAGGATAATGACTATAGTCTAGGTTGTTAAAATCTCACAAGTATCTGTTGAACTTGTTGAAAATAGTGGTCAATAACAAATCTAAGCTGCTATTTATAGATACGACCAAAACATCTTATTATGTGGGTGTTGAACATTGTAGTTCTCAGATGTTATTCAGCATATAACCTCTTTGTAACCTAAAACATTCAACTCTATAATGTTATATATTACTGTATTATTCTGTTAGTAATAAAATACAAAATAAGGATAACGTAAGGTAAAAACGCAACATCAAACAAGCAGCTGATAAACTACAGAAACTCGTGTGGA